CCTTTGAAATAGGCATTTAGTTTTTATAAAAAAACAATTACTTTGCTGTGTTCTACGTTTCCTCTTGAAAACCTGATAATTCACAATCACACAATCCATATGACAATAGCGTCCAAAAAATGGCGAAATAACTAACTTGAGTGTTAAGAATTAAATAACATACACAATTAGTAGTGGAGTACCATGCTGTAGATGCTTTTCCATTTCAAATGCAAAATTCGGAGGAAACTTTACTCTTTACTAATTCTCAAAATTCTCTAACAACTTTAACAATAATAACTTTAATAATTATAACTTTTAACAAAAAGTAAAAACCAATTTTAAATGCCTACAAAAGAAGTTATTTATTTGCTACCCTTGACGTGAACGGGTGAAATTATTTCTCTAAGTTATATGGGACAATGCTTGAATAACCTATTCAATAAAAAAAGGATTATCAAAATTAGTTCATAATCTGCGAAGATGTCACGTAAAATACATACAAAAAAAATATTTATAGCATTCCTGTTTTTTGTTTCATAAATACTAAAAATGTAATTTATATTCTTCTTAAAGTTATTAGACTATTGAATGAATTTATTTGCAAATTCTTAACTCTCCTCAAAATTATGTACAGCAAATTATAACTAGCTTTAATAAATTTACATTGTACGTCAAACTGTTGATAATAAATTGTATATAATAATTATTAATTAAGGCGGTCGGTACTTTTGTGACTTGAGGTTGGAGTGTTTGTTTTAATTACGCATATTTCAAGTTAAATCTTAATTATTAACTCTTGTATTTTATAATGAACTGAAACAAGTTTGCTTGATTGCTTTGTGAAATATGTTCATATTAAACTAAGTATAGTTAGCTTAAAAGTAATTTTCACCTTACAGACGTATTCAGAAGCAAGCAAAAGAACTGTATTGAAGATGCCTGTCCGTATAATGACAAATTTTCGTCACGGAAATTCTTCCTAAAATATCCGACCAAAGAAATTTTTGGGGCGAAGCCGATTGTTTGTTTTTAGCGTAATCGTATGCCAAAGATATTTTTCTACCGACTTCAAAAAGGAGACGGTACTCAATTCGAATGAATGTTTTTTTTTATAGGAGAGGGGGCAGACGAGCATGCGGCTCACCTGATGGTAAGCGACTACCGCCGCCCATAAACAACTGCAACACCAGGGGACCCAGGGGAATTGTAGATGCATTGCCGGGCTTTTAAAAAGGAGCAGGCTTTTTTCTTGAAGGTCCCTAAGTCGTATCGGTCCGGAAAAATCGCTGATGGTAATCGATTCCATAAGGAAGTTGTGCGAGGAAGAAAACATCTTCTAAATCGCACAGAGGTGGACCGCCAATCATCCAGATGGTGTGGATGGTAACGGGAGTTCTGCCGCGATGTGCGTTCGTGAAATTTGGCGGCTGGGATTAATTCGAACAATTCCTCAAGTTTTTTCCGCCTCCAGGTCCTTCAAAAGCGTCATTGCCAAGGCAAGATCTGAGCATATGGGCAGAATTGGCGAGAAGCTAGTTCGCCTTCTTTCAGAAACACGTGCATTCTGGTCTCTCGCCAAGGCTGTCCAAGAGAACTTCTGTCAGCCATCTCTTCCATCTCTGCACAGAGAGGACGACTCACTGGCCCATGCAGCAAAGGAGAAAGCCGGTCTGTTGAGCTCTCTCTTTGCGTCCAACTCAACTCTAGATGACGGGGGGAACACACCGCCGACCATCCCACGGTATGAGTGCTCCATGCCGGATACACAGAGCTCGGTTCGCAAAGCACTCTTCTCCCTGGACGTCAGCGAGTCAAGTAGGCCTGATGGAGTCCCTTCCATTGTGCTGAAGACGTGTGCTCCGGAGTTGGCACCGGTTTTAACGCGTCTTTTCCGGTACTCCTACTCCCAAGGCGTAGTCCAGAATTCATAAAAGACAGCTTTGGTCCATCCGATCCCTAAAAAAGGCGACCACTCAGACCCGTCCAACTACAGGCCTATCGCCATCACCTCCTTGTTCTCCAAAATAATGTTATCCATTATAAACTGCCAGCTCATGAGGTACCTTGAGGATCACCAGCTGATTAGTGACCGCCATTTTATGTGTGTTATCTCATAACTTTTTTCTGGGTGAACCGATTTCGATGATTCTTTTTTTATTTGTAAGCTGGTGCTTCCCATGTGGTCCCATATAAATTTAGAAGTCGGTTGTACAAAATTTTAAAATACGTTTTCACAATAGCAATAAAAACCCACGCATATTTGAGAAATAGTGTTTCTTTTTTTTTGAATTTTGGCCAGTTACAAGTAATTTAATTTTTTCCAATTTCTCTCTACATTTTTTATAAGCAGAATTGAAATATTATTGTGTTTAATTTAATAAAACCGGTTAAGTGCGAATCGAACTCGCGCATGAAGGGCTCCGTACGATCGTACAAGATTCAATACTATGTATGCAAAAAAAGAACACGTTTCTATGAGGCTAGCCCCATTCAATATTTAATTTAATTTTAATTTTTATTATTTGTGGTTATAGTGGCAACAGAAATACACATTCTGTGAAAATTTCTACTGTCTACCTTTCCGGATAATAAGATACAGATGGACGGACGGATGGACGGACGGATGGACGGACGGATGGACGGACGGATGGACGGACGGATGGACGGATGGATGGACGGACGGATGGACGGATGGATGGACGGACGGATGGACGGATGGACAGATGGACAGACGGACAGACGGACAGACGGACAGACGGCCAGACGGATAGACGGACAGACGGACAGCGGACTATTAGTAATAGGTTCCCTTTGGTTACCCTTCGGGTACGGAACCCTAAAAATGGATTCAACGTCGTGAACATTTTCACTTTGATTTCAAATGATGCATAAATATGTACGAATTACGAAACGTTTGATAGAATTCATATGGTTTTAATGGATAAAGGCTCTTCTGAGGCCACCGTGTTCCGCTGGTAGGTAGCAAATTTTACCACGGCCGACTAACTTTGAGATATGAAGGCAGAAGTGACCCTTTGACGGAGGGAAACGCGCTAGCAGTTAACATTTTAACTGAAAGGAATAGGCGAATTAAGTATGAAGATATTCAACAAATATTGCAGCTTGGATCACAAGATCTTACAAGAACACCTTTGCGTAAGAATGATAGTTTCACGTTAAGTACCACACAACCTCACCGATGTTCACAAGCAGGCCCACGTAGGATGGTTGCCATGATGGGTTTTCGATATTATTACAGGTCCCAATCTTGAATGTAACATAATTTAAAATTAAAAATTTTGTACAGCCGACTTCAATATAAGTTATTTAAGAATAACTTAAAAACTATTGGTCTGACCTTGATCAAATTCATATGGGACCACACGAGAAGTACCAGCTTTCAAATAAAAAAAGAATCATCGAAATCGGTTTACCCAGAAAAAAGTTCTGAGGTAACACACATAAAAAAAAAAACGAAAAAAAAAACATACAGTCGAATTGAGTACCGGCTCCTTTTTGGAAGTCGGCAGAAAACTATCCGGAAATGAAGCGCCAGTCGACGCTTTAGCAGTTCCAAAATGAGCTAACGCCTCTCCAAGAGAAGCGATCAAGCAGCGCAAGGGAAATTTTGATCACTAATTCACTTTGACAAGGTTTTTTTATAGGACAGCGTGACAAACGAGCACACAGTCCACCTGATGGTAAGTGGTTGCTGTGGCCCATAGACATCTACATCTATCCTCGTTTGCAAATCAAAAGGCAGATGCGTTGTCACCTGTGAGGACTAAGACGGAATGCCTCTTTTCCAGTTAAAAGGGTCTGCGATTCTCTACACTCACCATACGAAACACAGCAGGTTTAAGCTGCTATTTTACGCTGGTATTCTGTGAGAGCGTGGTCCTTCCCCGGTCGAGCTACAACTATACTACTAATACAGCTGCAGCATGGCCCTATGTCATATCTCTAGTGTCATGCAATTCCTCTACGAAATTAAAATAGCATAAACGCCTCATGGTATATTAACAAATGCTTACCAGAAGTGTTCACTGCTGTGAGCAACAAATGACTGCACACGGTACTCCGGCTACTGCTTTACGTTGACAACACGACCGCGCACTGAGCGCTCAAAATGGGGTATAAGCACACCGTTTAAGCTTTTGGGACAGCTTCTTTACAACCCCATTTGACAATCTTGGGACTTTTTAATTCCTTATAATAAAATATCAGTAAATGAGATACAGTTTTCATCGCCGGAAGATGCGCTAGCAGCGTTCGAACGTGCCGTAGAAGAGGTGTTTATGGCGTACAATACAGTTGTTTTTATTTATCAGTCTGTAAACTTCACTGTTGGATATGAACCTCTCTCTTTGTAGGGAGAATTTGACATAAACGTCATACTGGGCAAGCGGACTATATCATATAATACACATTAAATAATTATTCAGATACTATATATATCTAAAACCTTCAGAGAGTCCTTTTATAGACTGTATGCGTCACTAAGCTGCGGTGACAGCACAATCAAATGATAATAGATATTCAAAATAGAGTAATAAATTTTGTTACGTCATCCACATACAACAGCAACCGTGTTTTACATATTATACATAAAACACTCACGCCTGTCACCCAGAGGGGTAGACAGAGACTATAGACTTCCATTTGGCACGATACTGACACATCTCTCTCGCTTCCTCCACATCCATATACCTACACATACACGCTCGTCGGTTAAAGGTATTTTTGATTTGGCCCATTTTCAATATATCACCAATTTGGTCGGTAAACTTTCGCCTAGGGCGTCCCTTCCCGACTCTGCCGTTCAACTCTGCAACAGAAATTTGCTTTGTCATCCTTTCCTCGTTCATTCTTTCTACATGAACTAACCACCGAAGCATTCCTTTCTTAATCCTAGTCACAACATCATCTTGCAAACCACACTCTTCTCTTATCAAACAATTTCTCACCCCGTCATTCATTTTTACATATTATTTATATCATTATTTTGTTAAACTTACCCTGCTCCTTGATCGCAGCAACAGCGTGAGTCACACCGTCCCATGGCTTCGGCAAATCAAGAAATACGGCGTCAGCTTTTCCTTTTAGATTCTCGCCGAAGCCGTCGGCAAGTACGTCTCTATGTTGTGTCTAGAATAAAATTATTAAATTGTATCTTCCTTCCGTAGAAGTCAGTACGTCATAGCTGGATGTGAGCCTCTGGCGATGTAGAAATCATTTACCTTTATTGTTACTCTTGGCAGGTGGATCAACCATCGTTATACCAAAAGTGGCGAATCTATTACGCCGCTGTCAGTAGAATACTGTAGGTATATGTTATTTTATAGAAGTCATACTCTACCGGTAGAACAACGCTTTTGAAATAGCCAGGTACGAGAAAAACCTTTTAGGTAGTGTTTTACCTAAATATGTGAGAGTAGTATCTATAGTTAATGATCTGTCCGTTCGTCCGTATTTGACGGGTGAATTAAAAAGTGAGTTTTGATCAATCATTCGACTACTGTCATGAACTATTCCTAAGCCAAGCATTTTAAGCGTACTGAGAGTGATTAAAGAAAATATCATACTTATTTATAAAATAGCATTGATTTTTTTTTACCGAGAATCGGAAAATATTCATAAGTTGTCGACGTGAATGAACTTTGGCCAGTAGATAATTAAAGATGTAGGTGGTCTTAGGGTGACCATTTACTAAGAGGTTAGCGTTCGCCTGTCACCCGGATTAATATAAAATAAGCAATGTAGAAAAAAAGAGATATGCTAGCTTCGGGAGCCAGTGTTCGCCTTAATAAGTTTTACGGTATAGCGAGTGACCGAAGTTCGTGCTCACCGCCGCATTGTGCCGGTCGCCGTCAATGAAATTGTTTATTGTAGTTGTAAGTGCTGACTTAACCATGTATTCGGCGGTGATGAAAAGTGCGTTAGAATGATATGATATCCTATGTGTTTAAGAAATTAAAAATATCAAGGGCATGTGCAGTTCGCCAATTCGCATGGAAGCAGAGCGATAGACTTTTCTGCTATATAAACCTTTTCAACTAACCTTAATAACCTCAATTAACCTTAAACGTAACCTTAATAGGCTGTACAAGAAAAGAAAAAAATATATAGATTGGGAAACTAACCGTTCTTATTTTAATATTTCAAACGATCTAATTCTTTTTTTAAATTTAGTCAACACAAAGTCGTGGCTAGAATTAAGATAATAAAGTTACAATTCAAAGATGTATACACAGATAGTAAAAAGTTTCGATATCGTTCAAAGGCTTTCGGGGCGTTCAGGTTTATATACATAATAATGCATTCAAAATGTTACTCTTATCTTGAAAGGAATCGAAGTACTGACGTTGAAAGGTTGCTAGAAAAAAAAAACAATCCTTTCAATTCAACGTACTCGTAAAAGCCTTGTCACCTTAAATTTCTTAACGTTGCCGACATTTTTGCATTCTAAAATTATTAGCCTGAAATAATTACGTAACTAAAATTGTGAAGTTCTATCTGCAATTGTGAAAGTAGGATACCTATTAGGCTCAATTTACATTGCCGCGGAAGGGAATGGAAGCGAATTTTTGTAACGAAATTGTACATAGTAAAATGAATTTTTTGTTAATTGTGTAACGTGCAAATTAGATATGAGCCAAAAAAGAAGTCGCGCGTCGTCCAGGGAATACTCGCGCACTTTCGAGGATTTCCGTTAATACCGTCTGTGAAATCCGCAAGAAGTGGAGCGAAGGGTGACGTTTTCGTTTCTTCCATAAATCATGAACCTAAATATTTCTTTTCCTTTTTCTGATATTCTTTCTTTTCTCATCATTTTCTTCTTCTTCTGCCTCACAAATAAGCAATATGAAAATAATATCCAATCAACAATTCTTGTCAAATAAAAGATCTAGACTAAATAACTGAACGTACTGTACAGCGTCAATACGCAATAGCGGGAATGCTCAAGCATTCTCGCGAATTTGCGCACCTTCTCGCGCGACGAGGGGAAATTTGACGCTTCCGTTCCGCCGCAATGTAAATTGAGCCTTAACAAATTAATTATTATTAAAAACAAAGAACATAAGTGCAGTGATCTATTTAACCGCATTTCGGTCACGTCGGAAAGTTTAAACGGAGACTATAGCCATCTGCGCAGGGAAGGACTATAGTGCCCAAGTATACATTTACGCAAGCATAGGTGCACTCCCTATTCCCTCACTCTCATAGCCCGGTCGGTAATACGACACGAGCGGAAAGAGATCAGGCGCAAGACGAACTACAAGGAAAACTACATAAACTGATTTTTGCCCGACCCGGGATTCGAACACGGGACGTCATGATCAGCAACCGCGTTTACAACCACTAGGCGAACGTGGTTGGTCGTTGCAGTCGTCGTTAACAAAAGAGTCTATAAATCACTACGTTTATAAACTACTAGCTGTGGCCCACGGTTTCACCTCACTCTCAGGCGCGCAATACACCTACGCGATATTACGGGCCTGAGCCGTGCGACATTACACCTCGCTTAAAGTTATAGCCTATATACACCCCATTGCTGGGCACAGGCGTCCTCTCATTTCTGAGAGTTTTAGGGAAATGAAGTGAACTCCGTTCCGCCCCAATGCGTTGGCGGACTTCACATGTCCTCGATTTTTTTTTATTTCTCAGACATGCAAATTTGCTCACGATGTTTTCTTTCATCGCCAAGCACGTGATAAATGTAATTGTACGTGGACACCTCGCTTACGCCTTTATGTTATGATACCTCGCGCACCGGCGTTCAATGCTGGTTTCTCTCGGTTCTCATCGGGTGTTTAAACTATAAAAAATAAATAATAAAAAATAATAAAAAAGCAAATAAAGCTCTTCTTTATTATATTTTTATAAATTTATAAACTATATCAGAATGTAGTATTACTTTATTCCACTTGTTCTTTGAAATCGGCGTTTTGAGTGGACTTATGCAATATCACAAACTTAATGTCATCTAAATAGTTAATAGGAGTGGAATTTATCTTCAAATTTTTAAGGGATTATCCCTTCAAAATTTCAACTTCATCCCTAAAGAATAACTTATTTAATTTTAAAAAAGCCGGCCAAGTGCGAGTCGGACTCGCGCATGAAGGGTTCCGTGCCATCGTAAAACACGTTTTTAGTAGGGAAGTCCCCTCTAATTGTTAATTTATTTTTATTATTATTATTTGTTGTTATAGTGGTAACAAAAATACACATTTCGTGAAAATTTCAAGTGTCTACCTATTACGGATCATGAGATACAGCCCGCTGACAGACAGACGGACGGATGAACAGACAGCGGACGCTTAGTAATAGGGTTCCGTTGAGTACCCTTTGGGTACGGAACCCTAAAAAGGATAATCGAAATTGATTCACAATAATTTAGAAAGATATTGCGTGTATATACTTATATATGGCTGTACCATATAAAAACATCAAATCAATTCAATCAAATTGAGAATCTCTTCCTTTCTTTAGTCTAGTTAACAAAAGGCAGTAGAATTATAGTAGTATTATGTAGAATTATGTAGAAGTAGAAAAGATGAATTATGTCATTAATTATAATTGTAAATGCTCATAGGTCACTTTCTTTTCTTTAATACTTACAGTTACGAAATCTGCCAGCCCATGTTCATTAAACTCTTCTCTAGCAATTTTTGCTCTGTGTTCATGAAAGTCAAATGTATAGACATGGCCATGTGGGCGCACACGGCGAATAAGTGCATGAGCGAGTGAACCGCTGCCAGTACCTACACAATATATTTTAAACCATTAGGTATAAAAATATTTATTTTATGTACATATTACTCACAAAAATTGTCTATGATTTTCCTCTAGTGTCTGTCCATAACCAAAGAAGTTGACCAGCCCAGTGAACTTTTTATGTAATTACACAGGCCAAAACTCTGACTTAATCGAGTAAATAGAGGATTTGTTACAAAAATGAAAGCTTTAATATTAATGATGCACTTTTTTAGACATGGTAGAGCCATGGTGCAGCTATATTAGTAGTATATTTGTAGCACGAATGGGTCGGCTCCACCAAGGAAGGACCACACTCTCACAGAATACCAGCGCAAAATGGCAGCATGACACTGCTGTGCTTCGTATGGTGAGTGTGGGGAACCGGACACCCATTTTACTGGAAAAGAGGCATTCCATCTTAGTCCTCATGGGTACCGACGCATCTGCATTTTGATTCTTTATTGAGGATAAAAGTAAATGTCTATGGGTCACAGCAACCACTTACCATCAGGTGGACTGTGTGCTCGATTGTCACCCTATCCTATAAAAAAAAATGATGCACAAAGAATTGGGTTGAATTGCAGATATTCTCAAGTGAAATTTTAAGAGTTTTTGTGATAGAATATGCAAAGAAATCAAGTCTACATGTTCAATAGCATCATTACAGTCTTTACAGTCAACCACAACTACACTGCTGAATATAGGCTTTCAACATAGATTGCCACAAAGCATGGTTCTGAGCCACTTGGATAAAAAATGATTGTGAACTTTAAGATATAGAATGAAAATTATAAGAAATGTAATATTCCCAATTAAAATTAAAACCATTCCATCGATCCATTATGGCCAATAAAATGCCACTGTTGAACATAGGCCCCCCATAGATTGCCGCATAATGGGGTTTTTGCCATAGTTGCCACACTTGGCAGGAGGAACATTTTGAGTGGTTATCTATTCAGGTGCTGCTACCCATCACCTGTTTCAGTTTCCCTCTATAGCCTCTTACAACGCCTACGGGACAACATGTGGTAGTGGATATTTTTACACTGCCACTATATGGTTATATAATTACAACATATTATTAAATATTTTTTACATAAAGAATTTACCAGCTTCAACAACGACACTGCCAGGTATCAAGTCCAACTGCAATAATATCATACTAATGTCAGGTGTATAGATAATTTGTGTGCGATGGGGTAAGGTCAAAGACCACAACTCTGGAGTTGGTTGTAACACGTGACCCCAGCCCTTGGATAGTTCCACCTGTAAGTAAAAAAAAAAATAAGAAAATATTTTATTTGTTTTAATAAATAGGAATAATAATGTGTGTGGCATATAAGAATAAAATGTAGCATGATGTATTTTATTTATTTATTCATTTAATCTTTATTGAAACTTCAAACAGTATAGGGTCAAAAGTGAAACAGTCAACCTCAGAGAGTGATAGCACAATGAAAGTGGTTACAAAGAACATTAAAAAAAATATATATAAAGAAAACCTAAACGCAACAAAATGAAATATTATTAATATATAAATAGAATAGACACATACATAAGAACACACAAACATATATATTATAAGAAAATATAAAATAAGATACATAATATCCTAAATAAACTAAAACAGAGATATGATATTATTATGGAGTTTAGCAGTTTTGAAGCAATTATAGGAAATGAGCCCGAACGTTCCTCTTAAATGTTTCAATTTAAAAAAAAATATTTAAGTTGGAGTAACTTTAACAACAAAAAATAAATATCCCACAAATTCTGTTGGATTCATATTACAAGAACATTTTAAATGTATTTTTATTTTGCATATAAAATATACTTACCCGGCTTCCATAATCAGCTCCAATAAGATTTCTAACCTTCAAAGCTCCAAACGGTGTTTGGTAAACATTTTCTACCATGTCACCTTTTTTATTTTTTATTTCAGGTCTCACATCGAGGGCGTAAAGATTGTTACTTAAATACAATATTACAGTATCACCTTCGTCGATTTTCTCTTTATAATTTCTAAAACTCATTATGTATTCAGTCAAAAGTTTCAGTTTTCAGTTTGTAAACAATTGTAGATAAATAAAAGGTACATGAGGTTTTGACGTTTGTTGGAGTTGGAGAAATTTGCGTTACGTTCCAATTTCAACATCAATGTTACATTGAACTCAATATAAAATAATAGTAACACAACTTCGTCTATATTACATTATATTTGTAAAACGAAACTTACTATTAAATTAATGTATGATAATTTTATTGCTGTATGTTAATAAGTTTAGATTTTAAATAATTTTGTAATTATTTAAAATATAAAATTACAGATTACGTTTGCATGAAACTAAGTACATGGCATAAAAGCAGCTGTCAGCTGCCTGTCACTGTTTGTCATGTCTGTCATACTAAAAACTTGCGGATTCTGTACTTGTGCTGTACCTTCTTGTATTTCTTGTTTATTTTAAATGTTGGATATGTATCGTTGGGGAATTTAACAAAAGTGAATAAATAGTGTCTTATTAATATGTAAAATAACTATTGCAATGTGGGTAAAAGTTTCAGTATTCTGACACGTTTTCGGTCATAGACGAGTACAATTGAAAATGGATGCTTCAAAAACTACAAGTAAAACGAGCTCACTGAAGGCTTTGATCCTAAAAGCTTGGAGAGAAAGATGGACCGATATACAATGGGGCATAAATATCAAAACAATTTTACCAAGGGGAGTCAGTGGCGACCTATATAATTTAGCAGATTGCATACTTCAACAAGCCATGGTCGGATGTGGGGCTAATCAACTGGTAATATCGTATCTTAAGCATTCTTTGGCTTCTCATTTAGTATCTTACGCGGCTGTTTTACAGAGAATTGCCAAGTTTGATGCATTTCATAAACCACATTGTATTTTAAGCCTTCTCGAGTTTTTAGAGAGCTTCCTAGATAGTGTTACTTGCAGAGGTAAAATGGAAGAAGAAATTTTAGCATATGCTGTTTCATCTATAATTTTGTGGCTGCTTCAAGTATATCATTACTCTTTGAGTAAATACCCATCTTCTAATCCTATCCAAAGTCAAGAATTACTAGAAAAATCTACATCACTATTGAATTCAATTGTTCATACAGACTTTTTGCTGGCAATGTTTTATTTGGCAAAACAAAATGATCCCGAGGAGTATAATGAAGTCACGAAGAAATGTCAGGAGATAACAGCTTTTATGATGATGAACACACAGTTTAAAGCGCCTGTTACAATTCATGAGACGTTGCAAAAGATTTGTAACATGGCTATTGACAAAATTGCTCCTCTTAACAACAAACCTGAATCTGTGACACATTGCCTTCAAGCTCTTGTTGCAATTAATGTTTTAGCTAATCCAAGTGCGGACATGCAACAATTTTCTAGCCAATTGCTTATGGTGCAGAGAATAAAAGGCTATACATTGTCAAGGTTATATTGTGAACTTATAAGAGCATGTTTTATTTCCTTAAATGACTCAAGTAAAGATGCTTCTAAGCAAGCCCTGTGGGCAGCATTTACATTCCTAAAAGTACCTCAGGTAATAAATTATATACATAACATGTGTGGAGCTAGCAATAAAGAAGGGGAATACGCCTTAGAAGTGGTTGAAGCCTTTGAAAAGTTACTGCAATCCACACCTTTACTGGATGTAGTTGACACTAAAAATTCTTGTAATGGTCTTGTTTCTCTTCTAGAACCTTTAGTAAAGTTAAATTTAGTGTCTGAAAACCATTTGTCATATTTCAAACAAAAGCGTGAAACTAAGGATATTAAACTTCAGAAATTAGAACCCACTGGTCTTCAGGGTTCAGTGCCATCATTCATGACTCGTGCCGAACCTACATTGGCTGGCATTTTGAAAACAATGGGTGGAGATTTTCACAAAACACAAGAGTCTTTATATGCAATGTTATGTCAAATTGTTGGAGGCACTACATTAGACACAATCTTAGCTGTGGCAACTGTCGAAGGTAAACTTAAGTTATTTGTGTCTAGACTTATAAAATTCAATGAATTTGCTTTATTAGCTGCAAGTGAAAAGGGAGCATCTCAATCAAAGGTTTATATTTTTGATATTTCTTTCTTAATTCTCTGTTTCATTGTGCAAGATTATGGAATTGAGGCTGTTTTAGAAGATAATGGAGATTCATTCTTTGAACAATGGGTTCGTGACTGTATGGTCCATAAAGGAGTGCATAAATCACCTGACCAAATACTTCAAAAATGTGATCCACAACTTGTGGATATTTTTATTCATCACCTAAGTGCTCCCGACTTTGATTTTAAGAATACTAACTTGAAGCCTCATGATCTATGCATGAATGTTAGTGGTGCTGTTAAAGAGATATTATTTGCATGGGAACATGGTTCTATTTCATCTGCAGATGTCAAAAGAATGTTAGATTCATTGAGGCAAAAAATGGCATCACTAGCTGTTTGTGCCTCAGTTTGGTTGTGCTCCTATATCAATGTTGTGCACCAGGATGCATTTTTGAAGCCAATAAACATGGTACAACAATTTTTGGCACCACCAACAGAGGTTGAACTAGCCCAGATTGACAACTTTAAAGAGAGAGCTATGTTAATGTGCCAAATAATCCGAAAAATGCAATATGACATTCACCCACCTTCTGTTCCAAAGTCTAAAGTTATAACATTTTCACATAACATTATTTCACGTCAACCAATTCTAGAGCAGTTGCAATCAGTTTGGGAAGACATAAAGTCTAGAGGATATTTACATATAGATGCTACACATATCATTCAAAGCTTGCTAAACACAGCAGGACCTGTTTGGTTTGTCACAAATCTAGTAAAGGAGACCCTTAAATTCCGATATCAGGAAGATTTGGACAGATCTGTGGATATTGTACTTGCCATGTTTCATTTGGATATTGAAAGTTGTACTGAGGCATTGCTGTTACATGTGCTACCTCAATATTTGTACAATGCTAAATTATGTGAAGAATTAGTTGAACCACAATCTGCAGTGTTGGCCAAACTGTCAGTATATTGCATTTATGCTGCACTTGAATACAGCAATTCAAATAAAGCAACAATCTCTAGAAAACGTCGACATGATGACAATGAAGATTTGGATGCTTTGTGTTCATCAAGTAAAGTTCGACGATTAAATGATAATTCCTCTGATAGTAGTTCCATGTACTATTCTCAAGGACAAAGTGTTTCAGGAGCAATTTTAAAGGAACCTTTGCAATCTGCATTAGAATTGCTCTACAAGTCATTTTCTCAATTGGCTGGGAAAAATGGTGATGTTACACCTCAGACCTATTTCATTTTACAATTTTTGGTATACATGGTTCAATGTGGTCATGAAAGAGCACAAGTTGTATTACAAAAGATGCCTAGTGAAATTGTTCCAACCTTGATTAAGGCTCTTCCTGACAGTTTTAATATTGGCTTAATTTTAAGGCTCTATGATTTATCTGTTCCCTATGGCAGGCGAGATACTGCCAGAGATCTTTGTCTTTTGCGAAATATGCGTTTACGACCTGATTAATTTGACAAAGCCTATCATGACTAGCAAGACTAGATGTAAGAATAAATATAATGAATCATTTATCATTTGTATTTAATTTTTTAGAAATTACATAGTTGAAACTATTCTGCCTTTCATTTTAACTTCATAATGAGTAAGGGAAAATAAAACAACATACATATGTTTGGAATTCTTTACTTTTTGAAAGTCAATCAACAAATAAAGCAAATAAGTTTAATTTTATCTACTTCAACACCACATATGGACGGACTTTTTCTTAATGTATAGTTTGTACATAAGTTATAGGTCACAGATATTTATTATATACACATCTTATCTAACTTAACACATGTCGTGCCAATAAATTTTTACATATTAAATATTCTTTCAGATACTTGCTTATAAGGATAAATAAATCACCTAGAGGGGTAGGCAGAAACTATGGACTAGGATATTTTATATGGGATGCTATGTATAGGATATTTTATATGGGATGCTATGTATATGGGAAATACCACTGTCCTGTTTTGGGTTGAAAATTTAAAATCAGTTTTTATAGAATAAGCACATAATAATTTAAATTGTTTCAGTTTAGTTATCCAAAGTAAATAACATTAAGACAAGCTAGTAATTGTAAGGGTTATTGCAATATATTTTTTTATCAATATACCATTAGTGACTGTGTTGTCAAGGGACAGCCTATATGGAAGTTTAGGTAGGTATATTGAAGATGGGCTAAATTAAGATTTATCTTAACCAATGAGCATGTATGCATAGATATATGGATGTAAAAAAATCAAGAGAGGTGTGTCAGGATCATCCAAATAGAAGTAAGCAGTCTCTGTCTATCCATCTGGGTGACAGGTTTGAGAATTTGTTCATGTATGTATGTATATATCATACTGTATTCTGCGAGTTTGTGCATGTGTGATGTGGGCTAATTGATAGGTGTGATTGCAAACTTAGGTATTGCATCAAAATATTTAGAGATGAACTCAAAATCTATGATTTGATAGCAAATGTGAATATATATGTATTGTATATAATATAAAATTCCGAAAATCACAGACAGACAGATCTTAATACCTATAATAAGTTTATGTTGATCAAGAGAATTATAACAGCATTATTTTTTTAAATATTTACACAAACTATACAAAATTAAATCTAATAACAGACATTCACATTGTATGCGATAATTTAATATTTTAATAAGCACCTACTTTTAAATAACATATAAGTTTGTACAAGTTTCTATTTGTAAATTTGAAATATGTATAATATAAATTTACATAACTAAATTACCTATATTATCATATATAAACAGATCACAGGAGAGTTCCAGAGCTTGCACTACAAAATACTTACAAAAATTACAGATAGGAATAGGGTAACAAAATATTGAACTAATTTTAAGGTTATATTTTTATAATTATCTTATAGTTATAATGCAGGCTTTTTGGCACCCGGTGAATCTGGATGTGGCCGATCTGCAACAATTGGATGATATATAATTATTAAAAGCCTATTTCTGCCACCAATCAATAATGCGTCTATTATGTTCCATTTACGGTCACATTTGACTAGTCTTCTTAGTTTGAAGTTGGTTACAGGTGTCCAAAGACTGCTGTAGCCCAAGCCACTTTCCATCAGGTGTAATATTAGCACGTTATTTTAATATGATGTCTATTGACAAATGAGTTGCGTATTCGAATTCTAGAAACAAATAGATAGGTACTTATTGTATAAAAGTAACAGACTAATTCGTTGAGTAGGTAGTTAAATTATAACGAAACCCACGATAAAATATCACAGACATTTATTTATTTAATAAAAATAATAATGATGACCTCCAGACTGCATTTTGGTCACGGCGGCCAGTCTCAACGGAGACTAGCCATCTGCGCAAGACAGCTTTATAGTGCCTAAATGTATGCTCAAGCACTGGTGCACTCTCTATTTCTTCACTCTCATAGTCCGATGGTACGGTAATCGGACATGACCAGAGAGAGATTAGGCGCAGGGCCCAAAGGCTTTACGTGCTTTCCGAGGCACAGGGGTGAAACACCGCCAACAACAACTTGACTCCGGGCTACTAATGATAATTTCTCGACAGCAAAACTCGACGACTGATTTTGGTCCGATCCGGATTTCGAACCCGACAACTTATGATCAACAATCGCGTTCATGACCAACAAGGCACTCGAGCTGGCAGAGAACGAACTCGAATTATAAGGGTACGTACATACTACGATATTTAACACCTTTCCAATGTGGCTTAATGATTAGTCGCTCTATTTTTGTCAATGAAATATATTAGCCATGTGCCTATGAGTGTTGATACGTGAAACCATCTGCGTCTGTGTTTTATTCAGTGAGTTCCACTGCCCGCATAGGTGTATGGCAGCGTGGCTCCAGAAAAAAGTTGGTCATACTCAGGTTATATTTTGAGCGAGCTTTTTGATGATAACGGTTTGACTAAAATACGTGGTAGAGCCATGCTGCAGCTATATTTCAGGTATAGTTGTAACACGAATGGGTCGTCTCGACCGGGGAAGGACCACGCTCTCACAGAATACCGGCGTAAAATAGCAGCTTAATACTGCCGTCTTTCGTATGGTGAGTGTAGAGAACCGGAGACCCTTTTTACTGGAAACGAGGCATTCCATCTTAGTCCTCACGGGTGACAACGCATCTGCATTTTGATTCGTAATCGAGGATAAACGGAGATGTCTATGGGCCACAGCAACCACTTACCATCAGGTGGGCTGTGTGCTCGTTTGTCACCCTTATCCTATAAAAAAAAAACTTAAAAATAACGCAATGTTAATTGAACTTGTGTAAGTACTTTATCTGAAAAAATAACGAATATATTAAATTCGTCAGTTTTAAGCATGTTATTTTGAAGTTATGTAACATACACAGTAAATAAATAATTCATTATAACATTTTTTAAACGGTACTTCAAAGCTTCCTCGTTGATAGAAACCCCGCCCCGTAAGTTACTGGTGACAAACGAGTACATAGTCTACCTCCATTCAATCAAACTTTCCATTCAATGTGCTGGTAACTACACAATGTAGACACCTACATTGTGTAATTTAAAACCAGCCATTATCTCAATTTCCAACATTTTAAGCCGACAAATGTTTTATACTAATATTATTTCCAGGCAAAAGTACAGTTTTGCAAACATAATCTCTAAAATGATAGATTCTAATCGTTATATTGGCGTCTAAAATTTTAAACACCGCTATGTCTAATTTAACTCACCGATGTGCCTTCTTAGAATCTCTCCTTCTCTGCTTGTATTGTATTCCGATGGTGGACTACTGACCCTCATTGGTAAGCTTAATCTATTAGGATTGCAGTTCTCATCAATAGAACTCTCCGCGTTAGTAAAAGTCGCCCTTTGACTTCTATTCCACGTCTGCTGATAGGAACTTTCTGTTGTTATTGTACTACATCTATTGTTAGTATGAGGAACGTATTGCTCAGGCGACCAGTCGAAGACAAACGTATGACTGTAGTTTTGTGTGTAAGATGGAGTGCCAGATGGTGTAGGTGGAGTTGTTGTAACGTATGGGCCAAGATCTTGATGACAGACGTCAGGGACTTTTTGCAACGCTGACTCCGACCATGTTGGACTAGGGTTCCACTGATCAACTATATCAGTTTCTGTAATGTTAAAATTCTTTGACCCTGGCCTCCGACTCGCTATTGACCCTGCTGAAATTGCTATTAACATTTCTCCTCCAGAATGAACTCTAGATGACGAGAAACGCGGTGATATGTTAGTAATAGGAATGGTAGATTTATCATCAGAATTTTTCGCTTTCCTTTTGGCATTGGGCTGAATTCTAGTATCTTCCAACCGTATATTGTGGTATCTGAAAGAGAAAGCTAAAGTTCAATATGTTAAATTTTGAAATAGTGGGTAATAGCTATGTATAGACGTTATTGCATTAAACATTAGCAAAAACATTAAAGTAACTCTTTTTACCTGTTTTCTTGTAATGATACTGAGTAGTCCACTGGTCCATTATCCGTTCTTTCGTAAGCATAATGGATTGGTGTTAAGTGTGGAGGGACGTGTGATATGTGAGGCTGGAGTCCAGTGTTTGTCATCATGACAGCTTGATTGCCATTAATACAGACTGGCGGCGTTTGGGTGTACTGCATAGCGGGTGGGTAGACCTGAATATCTGGCGGTGGTGGTCCATACATTCTAGTAGCCGCTTCATAGGCCAGTCCATAATGAAGCTTAGATTGAACTGCGTAATAGTGATATAGCCATGGGTTGGCCTTCATGACCGCTGCTTCCTGCTCACTGTAGACAAAAGGAAATATTTAACAACTGAATGTACAATGGTTAGAAATTAAAATAAGTAATATTTTAAATTTAGTGACAAACGAGCACACGTTATACTCGATGGTCAGTAGATGCTGTGGTCCATAGACACCAACATCTATCCGCGATTAATGCCTTGTCATCCTTGAAAACTAAGATGAAATGTATCGTGCCCAGCAAAAGGGATGTCGTCACTTACCAAATGAAACACATTAACGTTGAGCTGTAATTTCCCGTTGGTATACTGTGCGGGTGTGGATATTCCCCGGTCGAGCTGACTCATCCGTGCTGCAGCCATATCAATACGTTGCAACGTGGCTCTACCTCTTATATATTTACGTCCAAATACTGAGTACCTATAGGCTTTCTTGCATTTCGGAGCGGTGAAAGTTCGACGTAGGTATTAAATGTCGAGTTGAGTGTTATTAGCGGTTGCTTTGCGGATTTCGTAAATTATCGAAAAAAAAATTAATATATTTTTTTAAATTTCTATTGAATAGGTTAGATTTCTTTACAATGATTTCATTCACCCCCGAGCATGCGGCAGATAAATAATTTAAATAAATTACGATAAAGAATTCGGTAATGCATGCGGGGATCGCATTTAGGTTGCTCGTGTGCTATGAAATTAAAGACGAGCGTCTAAGCACCGTGAGCTACTTACGTTCAT